AAAACGAACATCCTTCTTGAAGCATATTATTCACAGACTTTAAAAGTCAATATAACTGAATTTCCAAATATCTTTAGCACAGGCTCGTGACTGTAAAGTCTAATCCACCAACAAAGAGTATTTGTGATTGTCTGTGCTTGCTTATAAGACAGCTCATGGATTTAAAAACATTAATGCCATTATATTACATGATCAGTATGCAAATACAAGGTGGCCATTTATTTAAAGCATGAATTTGTAAAAGCAGGTGCTCTGTTATGCAGAAGAAAAATAATATATAAGTATTAATGGTCCAGTATAATCGTGCAGAACTCTGGGCCAGACTGTTTATATTCTGGATGCTGTACATATTTCTTTCTCCCAAAACAACGTATATCAAATGGCATACAGCACCAAGCACATCACATTCTTCCAGCTATCCTTAAATTTGGCAAGCTGACCACATGAATAAACTGGGCATTATAATTGTATGCATCCGATATGATACATACCTTTAGTACAAGGAACCGTCTTGCATAGTGGGCTGAAAAGAAAAGGAGATAGACGATTCATGAATGTTTCTCGGTCCAAAGTCACTAAGCTTCATTACCAAGCACTTTCTAAACGGTGTCAGCCTGTCAGGCAACACAGAGTAAAAATTATTAAACCTTCACAATTCTGGCTTACAAATCTCCTCCTAGTATTTACATTGCTTTTATAATGAACTAGATGACTGCAATTAAAATGTGTCCTCCAGTGCACTGTCAAATGACTGAGAAAGATTCAAGATTTTAAATTTCCAAATAAAATATGACAAAAAGAAATAAGCATCTGACAAAATGGATATCCGAAGTATCCTGTTAACAGAGTGTAGGCAAGTTCAACCCATTGTAACAAAATTCTCCATTTTAAGCAGTGAAGTTGTTTTATGTCTACTAACCTTCGACTTCCTGCTCAAAAATATGCAACTCGCTCCCATACGGCATAAAGCAAGACGGTCCTTTATATTATAGTGTACCAAGATCGAAATGGAGCCAGCCGTCATCAGACATCTTGAAATAATAGGGCGACACATTTCCATCAGACTAACTAAAATTTAATTAGAAACAAGTTTTACATTAGTTCTATATGTTAATATGTTTTTATCAACAAATACTGATACCATGTCTACTTTTTTTAGCAAATATAAAACACTGTTGTTTAGACATTTCATGTACCTTCTTTAGTACCAACGACCAGGCAGCCGGATATTCCATGGAACAAAGGACTTTCTCTGCTTAAGAGGGAAGGGTGGGAAACATAACTTATATTCATAGTCTTCATAGTAATTAACAACATAGTTAATTCCGTCACTTCTATTCGAACGTATAGGGCTGACTATAACGTCATCTTCCAATGTGCCTACTGGAGCCTCTTGCTGTGTGTGGTTTTGTTGTATCAAGCACTTATAAATTTCTCGGGGTCTGATGCCAACTCCAGGCTGTCGGTTCTCTAACTCTAATTCCAGTCTTAAATCAGGACTGCGGCTCACTATCTCTAATTCCAGTCTTAAATCAGGACTGCAATCCTGTGCTGTGTAAATCGAAGCTTCATTTCCATCTTCATTTTCGTCATATGATGGATCCTTAAGCAAGTGTATGGGTGCCAATTCCTTCCTGCATTTCATATCTACCTTGAATGTTAGGTCAAAGTCTTCATCATCTTCCTCTTCTCTCATGCGCCTGTAAATATGTTTACACTTATAGCCAAATTGGTACTCCACGCTATCATAGCTACCAACTTTAAACTGATTGGTGCCCCTAATATTATATGGGATCTTTTCTTCTTCAACCTGTGTCTCCATGAGGTAGTACTGATT